TCAGTGTACGGTGACATTCCCTGCCTTTTGCCACCTCCAATAAGATTTTCAGGCACACTTTACCTGATGTTGCCTAAGGAAGAAATTCTAATTGGTCAACTAGTGCTGTGAATACATGCCCGGAGGAGGATGGTTGAAAACCAAGTCCTTTGCAAGACATAGCTTAAGGAGCTACCTGCCTAAATACCGTAAAGCAGGGGTCACTAAACTAGGGTCTGCAGATAAAGCTGTATAACAGTGGATAGATAGAAAGTTGGTTGGAATCTACTGGTAGCTCCCAGAGTGAACAGACCAGCAAATATTACTAGTAGTATGAGCAAGAAAATGTTTATAAAAAAAAAAAAGCCAATGGGATTTTGGCCTGCATCAATAGGATCATAGTGTCTAGATCTAGGGAAGTAATGCTACCCCTCTATTCTGCTTTGTAGACCACACCTGGAATATTGTGTCCAATTCTGGGCACCACAATTGTAGAGAGATATTGACAAGCTGGAATGTGTCCAGAGGAAGGGCGACTAAAATGATTAAGGGTCTGGAAAACAAACCCTATGAGGAGCGGCTTAAGGAGCTGGGCATGTTTAGCCTGAAGAAGAGAAGGCTGAGAGGAGATATGATAGCCATGTATAAATATGTGAAGAAGCCACAGGGAGGAGGGAGCAAGCTTGTTTTCTGCTTCCTTGGAGACTAGGACGCGGAACAATGGCTTCAAACTACAAGAGAGGAGATTCCATCTGAATACGAGGAAGAACTTCCTGACTGTGAGAGCCATTCAGCAGTGGAACTCTCTGCCCCGGAGTGTGGTGGAGGCTCCTTCTTTGGAAGCTTTTAAACAGAGGCTGGATGGCCATCTGTCAGGGGTGATTTGAATGCAATATTCCTGCTTCTTGGCAGGGGGTTGGACTGGATGGTCCATGAGGTCTCTTCCAACTCTTTGATTCTATGATTCCATAACACAACTGTACATAGGTCCTATATTTGGCTATTAAAATGTAGAAATGGGCATTTGTGTGTGAAACAACTACAGACCTAGTCTGTTCCTCAACTTCATGATTTCCTAGTTCCCATTTTGTTCCTTCTTTCTAAATTCATGATCTCCCAGCTGTCATTATGAACTTGACTTTGACCACTGAATCTGATGGCTCTGAATAGTTTTCTAAAACCCATGTGTAAGTGTTCTTAAACATGGATGTATATTGCCCTCCGGTGGCCAGATGCAAAATTGCCCAGTTTCTGGGCCAAATGCTGTATAAAGCATATTATCTGTAGAATTAATGCAGTTTTAGCACCACTTAACTGCCTTGCCCAATGCTATGGAATCCTGAGATTTGTAGTTTAGTAAGACACCAGTATTCTTTGGCAGATAAAGCCAAAGGCCTTGAAAAACAAAAAAAATGCACTAGCTTACTGTCTTCTTTTGGAGTTATTATTTGGCAATAATCACTCCAAATTCCTAGTCTTCTTCCGACTTCTTGGCTGCAGCTTGTATCATAAGAGCAAATGTGATGCTGGCCATTACAGGTCTGCATCTTCTTATCACAGTTGTCATCAGAGGGATTTCACATTGTCTTATTAGCATCCTCACCACATGTTCCAGTGAGTTTGCTGACATTGGATTGTTGTGAGTTTTCCGGGCTGAATGGCCATGTTCTGGAAGCATTCTCTCCTGACATTTCACCTGCATCTATGGCAGGCATCTTCAGGGGTTGTGAGGTCTGTTGGAAACTAGGAAACTGGGTTTTATATATCTGTGGAATAAGTCCAGGGTGGGAGAAAGAACTCTTGTCTATTGGAGGTAGGCGTGAATGTTTCAATTGGCCACCTTGATTAGCATTTAATGGCCTAGCAGTTTTAAGGTCTGGCTTCTTACTGCCTGGGGGAATCCTTTGTTGAGAGGTGATTAGCTATCCCTGATTGAGAGAATGCTTCTAGAACATGGTCATATAAACCGAAAAACCGACAACCCACTGAGAGGATCCTTATTGTCCTTTGCTGAACATAGCATTTGTTGGATTTTCTTAGTGGGTCTGTAGATTGTCGTAGGCTGTGTTTGGTGACATTTCTTCTCTGTGTCCGGGGTGACAGTAGTAGCTTTCCCCATAGCCGCTGAAATGTGGTATTTGGCACTAATAGATGTGTGGTTCAGTGGGTTGGGGACTTTCCCTCACTTGCTTGGGAAAATTAGAAAATATGAGCATTCAGAAACATCACCTGGAAGGAAACCTCACTTGTAGCTCACCCAGAAGTCAATAAACATCAGGACAAGAGATTGGTTACTGAGGTTCACCATTTCATGCATTGCTTTACTTTTAAAAAACCCATTTGCACTTTTCTGAACCTTTCTACAAATATCACCGAATAAGCTTCTTGCTGAAAACACAAAGCCCTTCCTTTGTCATTGCTTTATTGATCAGGATCCATGCTGCAATGTGTCCTTAATCAACAAGGGGGTGCTTTTGAAAGGTATTCAGAAACTTCTGCTGTTTCAAAGAGCTGCAGTCAGATTGTAAGCTGGGGCTTGCTGCACGGAACACACAACTATTGCAATCACTCCACCGGGTTCCACTTCTGGACACAATTCAAAGTGCGGGCTATAATCCATATAGACCTATACAGCTTGTGTCCAGGTTTGCTACATATTATCCAGTTCTGTGCCCCCCCCCCCCAAACAGGTGTTTATATTTGCTGGTCTTGTTCTAACTCAGTGTTTCTCAACCTTCCTAATGCCACAACCCCTTAAAACAGTTCCTCATGTTGTGGTGACCACCAACCATAAAATTATTTCCGTTGCTGCTTCATAACTGTCATTTTTCTACTATTATGAATCATAATGCAAATATCTGATATACAGGATGTATTTACATTCATTGGACCAAATTTGGCACAAATACTCGATACACCCAAATTTGAAAACTAGTGGGGTTGGGGAGTTGTAGTTGCTGGGATTTACAATCAAAGAGCATTCTGAACTCCACCAACAATTGAATTGAGCCAAATTTGGCACACAGAACTCCCATGACTGACATAATGTACTGGAAGGGTTTGATGGGCATTGACCTTGAGATTTGGAGTTGTAGTTCACCTATATCCAGAGAGCACTGTGGACTCAATGATGGATCTGGACCAAACTTGGCACGAATAACCAATATGCCCAAATGTGAACACTAATGGAGTTTGGGGGAAATAGACCTTGACATTTGGGAGTTGTAGTTGCTGGGATTTATAGTTCACCTACAATCAAAGAGCAATCTGAATTCCACCAATGATGGAATTGAACCAAATTTGGCACACAGAACTCCCATGACCAACAGAAAATACTGGAATCGTTTGGTGGGCATTGACCTTGCATTTTGGAGTTGTAGTTCACCTACATCCAGAGAGCGCTGTGGACTCAATGATGGATCTGGACCAAATTTGGCACAATTACTCAATATGCCCAAATGTGAACACTGGTGGAGTTTGGGGGGGGGGGGGAAGACATTGATATTTGGGAGTTGTAATGCTGGGATTTATAGTCCACCTACAATCAAAGAGCATTCTGAACCCCACCAATGATAGAATTGGGCCAAACTTCCCATGAAGAACCCCCATGACCAACAGAAAATACTGTTTTCTTATGGTGACCCCTTTGACACCCCTCTTGTGACCCTCCCAGGGGTCCCAACCCCCCGGTTGAGAAACTGCTTTTAATTTTGTTGATGATTAAAATATATCTTTAACTCTTGAACAATGTAATGTTTTTTGTTTGGTAAGCTGCCTTGTACTCCAGACTAGGAAAAGACAGGACATAAGTAAACATCAATATTTTGTCACCATTATCACCAGTGCTTGCCCCAGACATTTTTATCACCAGCTTATATACACCCTACCTCCTTTATATATTTATTTAGGCAGTTTTATGCCACTGTTAGTGAATAATCTCAGGATAGATACAATTATTTATTTAACCTATTAGTAGCCAACCTTCATTTAACTTTCTTGTGTCTATAGCAATGCAAACTTTTGCGTGTGCTGAGGCAGAGGTGGAATATATACGAGAAAATAAGAAATACAGGATGAAATCCTATCTGACACATCACTTTATGATGATGGAGCTACATGGCTGACATGCTATGCAACCATGTGAGTGAATCATGACAATGCACAACAGGGTGCGGTGCAAGACGTTCTGTTGCATAATGGGCCCTCCATGTAGTGCATTGAGAAACATTGTGCGCAACCAGCACATTGCTGACTCTTGCTTGCACAATGGTCCTGATGGCATAGCTCCTGACAATATGAATGTTTCACAATAGCGCAATTCCACTCTATCTGATTGTAACTGCCTTTGCAATGATATAACTTCCCAATAGGATGCAGGTCAAAGATGATTCAACGATGAATCAGGGTTGCAACTCAAGCAACATAGAGGAGACTATATCATGTGGTTGAAACTCTACTTAGCAATGCTAACAAATTGTCTTTATAGATCAAGCCTCCACAATTATCAAGAGTGAATTAACTATAGTAGTCAATGGTGGTTGGTGACTTCCATGCGAATTCTAAAGGAGCTGTCCAAGGTGCTGAATTTAATTGGGTAGTAGGCTTAAGCACCAAGGAGAGCTCATCTAAATTCTGAAATCTAGAACAGAATCATAGTATACACACCATATCAGCATGAGGATTATCAATTATTTGTGAAAAACAAAAATACAAGGATAGTAGCAATGAATAATGTCCATGCTGATGACCACTAGATGAAAGGTAGGAGAATGCAGACCATTTAATACCCCAAACCCCTGATATATGGAACATGGGCAGAGAGCCGTATCAACTTAAAATTTATTGAAGGCAAACCAAAAAGATCTGATTCTTCCCCACAATGTAACATGATTTCATATTAAGGCATTAATTAAGGGCATATGTCTGTTTGAGTTTTAATTTAAACTACGGGGGGGGGGGGGGGGGGGGGGAGATTAAACCTTTGAGGATTTATTTTGGATTTTTAGAAAATCACCAATAGATATCATTCACATTTTTAACTCTGAAAGGAAATAAAGGCAAATATTTTAAAGGCATAAAAATTGAGGCTTCTGTTCCTCAAATACAAGCATGGGCAAACTTCGGCACTCCAGGTGTTTTGGACTTCAACTCCCACAATTCCTAATAGCCTTACAACCTAATGGTCCAAAACACCTCGAAGGCTGAAGTTTTCCCATGCCTGCTATAATGGTTGTGAAGAAGAGGGAATTTCAGCCCTTGTTGCTTGTCATGCAGTTAGATAACAAGCAATATATTGTCGAAGGCTTTTATGGCTGGAATCACTGGGTTGTTGTGAGTTTTCCAGTCTGTATGGCCATGTTCCAGAAGCATTTTCTGCTAACGTTTTGCCTGCATCTATGGCAGGCATCTTCAGAGATTGAGAGGTCAGTTGGAAACTAGGAAAATTGGGTTTAGATATCTGTGGAATGATGTCCAGGGTGGGAGTAAGAACTCTTTGTCTGTTGTTCTATTGTCAAAGGCTTTCATGGCTGAAATCACTGGGTTGTTGTAGGTTTTTCGGGCTATATGGCCATGTTCTAGAAGCATTCTCTCCCGACGTTTCACCTGCATCTATGGCAAGCATCCTCAGAGGTTTGTCTGTTTGAGGTAGGTGTGAATATTGCAATTGGCCACCTTTATTAGTTTTTAATGGCCTAAGAGTTTCAAGGTTTTGCTTCCTACTGCCCGGGGGAATCCTTTGTTGGGAGGTGATTAGCTGTCCCTGATTGTTTCTTGTCTGGAATTTGAGTGTCATTCTTTATTTACTGTTATAATTTTAGAGTTTTTGAAATACTAGTAGCCAGATTTTGTTCATATTCATGGTTTCTTCCTTTCTGTTGAAATTGTCCACATGCTTGTGGATTTCAATGGCTTCTCTGTGTAGTCTGACATGGTGGTTGTGAGAGTGGTCCAGCATTTCTTTGTTCTCCAATAATATACTGTATCCAGGTTGGTTCATCAGGTGCTCTGCTATGACTTCTCTGGTTGAAGTAATCTGCAGTGCCTTTCATGCTCCCTGAATTGTTTTTGGGCAATGCTGCATTTTGGTGGTTCCTATGAAGACTTTTCCACAGCTGCATGGTATACAGTAGACTCCTGCAAAGGTGAGAGGAGACACCTTTGCAGGAGTTAACCATATACCATGCAACTGTAGACAAGTCTACATAGGAACCACCAAACACAGGCTGGAAAACTCACAACGATCTAACAAGCAATACTTACTGGAATACCTTCTTCTACACAACCATGAAGCATTTCCAGTTTTCACCCCGCCAATCCCTTTACTTTGTGCAGGTAAAAGAAGAGCATTGTTTTGAAGAGCCTTTACGATTTTCAATTTGGGAAGCCATCAATTTTTGAAACCTCAAGACCATCATTTGGCACAGCTTATAAAGGCAGAGGGTGGCAAGCTTAGTTTCAGGAATGTGACCAACTTGGTTTGCGTTTTGAGATGAAGGCCTCAATCCCTTCCCGGCCATCCTTCATGGCCAGATTGTCCACCATGACCCGCGAGGTCACCTTGTAGGCTGCGCCAATGTCCTGCTCAATTTGTTTGTAAAAGGTGGCTTTCCCCAGGGCCACGACGGCTCGGCTGCTCTCACATATCTTGTGGGCAATTCTCAAAGTCTCATCTTCCAACCTGTGCTCAGGTACCACTCGGCTGATGAGTCCATGCAGAAGAGCCTCCTGTGCCGTCATGGGTTCCCCGGTAAACAGCATCTCCAAGGCAACCTGGGTGGCATTTTGAAACAAGAGAAAATGGATTATATGAAGCTGATTCGGCTCAGTGCATCTCCCATATTTGATGCTTTTTTGTCAACAGCACAAAGCACTGGCGTTAGAAGACAAAGATACAGAATGGGTGACACCTGGCTCGACAACAGTCCATGTGAAAAAGATCTGGGCGTCATAGTGGACAACAAGTTGAACATGAGTCATCAGTGTAATGTAGCAGCTTAAAAGCCAATGGGATTTTGGGCTGTATCAAAAAGAGTACAGTGTCTAGATCGAGGGAAGTAATGGTGCCTTTCTATTATGTTTTGATTAGACCTCACCTGGAATACTTTGTGCAACGTGTGATGACCCTTCCTCCTTTCATTGTAGACTTACCTTTCTTGGAAGTGATCTCCCCACAGCGACTGCAGGAGTCGAGCAAAACAGCCCAACGTTCACTCCCGGGGTGGCAAACTTAGATTTCTCACTGGCCACAGCAATATCACAGCTGGCCACAAGCTGGCAACCGGCCGCGGTGGCAAGGCCATTCACCTTGGCGATCACTGGCACAGGAAGCTTAGGAAGGAGAGTCATGATCTGTAAGGAAGTGTGAAAGAAGCAAGCAAGCATCATTCACCATCTGGTAAAAAACAAAAACACAGAATCATAGAATCATAGAGTTGGAAGAGACCTCATGGGCCATCCAGTCCAACCCCCTGCCAAGAAGCAGGAATATTGCATTCAAATCACCCCTGACAGATGGCCATGCAGCCTCTGTTTAAAAGCCTCCAAAGAAGGAGCCTCCACCACACTCCGGGGCAGAGAGTTCCACTGCTGAACGGCTCTCAGAGTCAGGAAGTTCTTCCTCATGTTCAGATGGAATCTCCTTTTTGTAGTTTGGAGCCATTGTTCCGCATCCTAGTCTCCAGGGAAGCAGAGAACAAGTATATCTTTCCCATATTCATCATGATAAATGACCACACATTGATTTGTCTACTAGGAGTGCTTTGATTGTGTGCATGGCAAAATGGGGGTTGTGCTAGATGGACCTTGGGGGGTCTCTTCCAACTCTATAATTCTGCAATGTTTATGAACAGGGCTTACAAGGTGAGAATCTGATGTGCCAAAGGAGTAGATGGGAGTCGGTAAACTCATTTCTCACATTTTCAAACATTTAGACCAACGTTATCCCTTTGATTCCAGTTTCTTAAAGACTTGTTCCCCAGAAAACTAAAGGTGTAAACAGTGTCTGATAATCACTTCATATTTTGGAATATAATCGAACGATGAGTAAAGAATAAGACAACATCTTTCACATTGAGATTTTGGGGTGACTCACCTCAGCACAGGTCTTAAAAACTTCCATGTGGTGCTTCTCACCTGTCTTGTGAGTCAGTTCCTTTAAGTCATGCCCAGAGGAAAAAACAGGCCCTTCACCTTTTGATGAGATTTGTGAGAGGAAACAAAGGAAAGTTACACAGCATTACACATTCCATACTAAACACATAACTGATAAGACTATTTTTAAATATAATAATAATAATAATAATAATAATAATAATAATAATTTATATAAACAAAAATGTAATGTTTGTTTTTGGGATTAACATAATTCAAAAACCACTGGACAAATCGACACCAGATTTGGACACAATACACCTATCGGGCCAACGAGTGACCATCACTCATAAAAACACTGAAACAAGACTGGAAGAGACTGTAAAAGCCAAAAACTAAAAAAAAACCCATTACAACACATGCGTAAAACCACATATATACACATACACATACAAAACACACATATACACAGACTGGGCCACAGTAATGCATGGCAGGGGACGGATAATAATAATAATAATAATAATAATAATAATAATAATAATAATAATGTGAAACACAACAAGATGAGTTCACAGCAAACAAGATCACTCGGCTGTTGTACTGAATCACACGTTGAACACTTCCTAAGTGTTTAGGAATGTGTGATGTATTGACGAATAATGCGTGCAGATCCTAGTAAGGTGGCCTTCTGCAGCTGGCTGATGGTAATCTTGTCAGCGTTGATTGTGATTAAGTGCAGGCCAAGGTCTTTAGGCACGGCACCCATTATTATTATTATTATTATTATTATTATTATTATTATTATTTTCCACACACAATATTGCAATCTAGCAATAAATCATAATTTTAAATCTTGCTTTCATCTCTTTCCTTAAGTCACAGGCATTTTGAAACTACTTCTCTGTCAAACCTTTTATGAATAATTTATCCTCTACTCCAGTGGTTCTCAACCTTTTCTTCACCACAGACCCCCTTTTTAATATAGTTTGTGGACTTGTGGACCCCCAAGACATAACTCAAGATTTAAGGCACTGGACTGCATCAAATAATTATTTCAATTTTCTGATAAAGGTCCTTCAAATTTAGAGAGAAGGTGATATAAGTTCATACATCAATGCACACACTTCCACTTATATCTTATTTCTGGAAGTTATTATGCTTTGTGTGATTTCTGTCTTGTATTTTATGTTAAATGTGCTTTGATTTGTATTGCATTACATTATATTGTGTGCCACTAGGGAGAAATGTGGGATATAAATCAAGATTTATTATTATTATTATTATTTATTATTTGTTGTTGTTCATTCGTTCAGTCGTCTCCGACTCTTCGTGACCTCATGGACCAGCCCACGCCAGAGCTCCCTGTCGGCCGTTACCCCCCCCCGCTCCCTCAAGGTCAGTCCAGTCACTTCAAGGATGCCATCCATCCATCTTGCCCTTGGTCGGCCCCTCTTCCTTTTGCCTTCCACTTTCCCCAGCATAATTGTCTTCTCTCGGCTTTGCTGTCTCCTCATGATGTGGCCAAAGTACTTCAACTTTGTCTCTAGTATCTTTCCCTCCAGTGAGCAGTCGGGCTTTATTTCCTGGAGGATGGACTGGTTGGATCTTCTCGCAGTCCAAGGCACTCTCAGAACGTTCCTCCAACACCACAGCTCAAAAGCATCGATCTTCCTTCGCTCAGCCTTCCCTAAGGTCCAGCTCTCACATCCGTAGGTTACTACAGGGAATACCATGGCTTTGACTCGGCGGATCTTTGTTGCCAGTCTGATGTCTCTACTCTTTACTATTTTATCGATACTGGACATTGCTCTCCTCCCAAGAAGTAAGCGTCTTCTGATTTCCTGGCTACAGTCTGCATCTGCAGTAATCTTTGCACCTAGAAATACAAAGTCTGTCACGGCCTCCACGGTTTCTCCCTCTATTTTCCAGTTGTCAATCATTCTTGTTGCCATAATCTTGGTTTTTTTGTTTAGCTGCAACCCGGCTTTTGCGCTTTCTTCTTTCACCTTGATTAGAAGGCTCCTCACCTCCTCCTCGCTTTCGGCCATCAGAGTGGTGTCATCTGCATATCTGAGGTTGTTAATGTTTCTTCCAGCAATTTTCACCCCAGCCTTCCATTCATCAAGCCCCGCACATCGCATGATGTCTGCATACAAGTTGAATAAGTTGGGTGAGAGTAGATAACCCCGCAGTACGCCTTTCCCAATCTTGATGCAGTCTGTTGTTCCATGGTATCTTCTTACTGTTGCTACTTGGTTGTGAAACAGATACCTCAGGAGACAGGACAAGATGGCTTGGTTTCCCCATACAAACCAGCAAGAACTTGCCACAATTTATTATGATCCACACAGTCAAAGGCTTTAGAATAGTCAATGAAGCAGAAGTAGATGTTTTTCTGAAACTCCCTGCCTTTCTCCATTATCCACAGATATTGGCAATTTGATCTCTCGTTCCTCTGCCTTTTCTAAAGCCAGCTTGAACATCTGGCAACACTCGCTCCATGTTTTGCTGGAGTATTCCTTGCAGGATCTTGAGCATTACCTTACTGGCATGAGAAATAAGGGCCACTGTACGGAAGTTTGAGCAGTCTTTAGCATTTCCCTTTTTTTGGTATGGGAATAGTGTTATTTCCTGTTTAATTGTGTGGTCTTTACTTTAAAAGAAGTTGTTCTACTCCAGAAACTTCCTTTTTATGCCTACCTAAACTATGCGGAATTGACTGAGACCCAATGAGATAGCCATTGAAAAATTATAGCAAAAGGTGCTGCAGTTTTTGCACTTTAATAACATTTTCCATGTTTTTATGCTAGAACCAATTAGGAAATGACACTTATAACCCAGGAACAGAAATTGAGTTAGTGTAATAGTTAATCATGTAATCTTCCGCAAACCCCCTTGTGATGACATTGCAGACATAAACAAGATGAGCTTGAACTCTTAATACAACCAAGCAAATACCATATAATTGGCATCACCGAAACTTGGTGAGAAGAATCCCATGATCTGAATGTACTACAAAAGAGATATAACATAGTGCTGAGAAACAGACCAAATTTGAAAGGAGGAGGAATAGCATTGTATATCAAGGATTTTTACACTTGTCATGTGTGACTTAGATCTTGGAAGCCAGGTTGGGAATATCTGGGCACAAATTAAAAGTAAAAGAAACAACCAGGACATCATTATGTAACAGATTTCAAACAGAGGTCAAGACGGCACAAACCAAGTACCTGCAATGATGATGACACGCAGATCAGTATTTTCAATATCATGTAGAATGTCCTCACGGAGAGACCTCAGCATGGAGAGTGAGAGAGCATTTCTTTTCTGGGAGTGATTTAAGACAATGTTCCTGGAGAGATTTGTGGGAATAGGAAAGTTTGTATTCACATACTTCCAGAAGAGATGTGGTTTATAAACAATCTAATGATGGTTCCAGATGGCAATCTCTCTTCCTGGGACGTTTAGGAAATATTTTACTGCATGATAAGGCATACCGAAGATGCATCTATGCTACAGAATGAATGCAGTTTGGACACCACTTTAACTGCCATGGCTCAATGCTATAGAAGCATGGGAGTTGTAGTTTTACAAGGTCTTGAGTCTTCTGTGCCAAAAAGTGCCAGTGCCTGACCAAAACTACAACTCTCAGGACTCCATAACATAGAGCCATGGCCGCTAAAAGAGGTGTCAAACTGCATTACTCTTCCCTGTAAATCAGTGGTTCCCAACCTTTTTTTGACAAGGGACCACTTTGACCAGGGACCACTCTCCAATATTGGTACCGAAAGGGCTACGAATCAATTTTTGATCAACTTTAGATAGGGTTTGGTTATTTGGGGTGCTGATTCAGAATATTGCATTGGATAGACCACATCAGCTCTAGCTTCTGATACAGAACATATGCCATCCAATAGTTGCCCACAGAAAACTATATTTAATAAGCTTTGGCACTAAAAGAGGGCTTTGTGAGACCAGTCACTCTTGTTGCAACAGTGTAGTTAACGGTGAGTGTGTGGACCATATTTTAGTTCTTGGGAACCACTGCTGTAGATGCAACAAATGGAAACTCATCTATAGGAAACTATGACAGTTTGTTTCAAGACTGTTTTGACTGTATCAATGTGTTCTTGTTGTTATAGTTATTCTTTCAAGATAGCTGTATTGTGGCAAGATTCTTTTGGATTTTAGGATATACTAGCTGTACCCGCCACGCATTGCTGTGGCCAACTTCCCGCCCTCTTTCTCTCCCTTCCTTCCCTTTTTTTCTTTCCTTCTCTCCTTCCTTCCTTCTCTTCCTCTTCTCTCTTTCCCCTTCCTCTTTCTCCCCTTTCTTCCTTCTCTACCTATTTTTGGACTGCAACTCCCAGCAGTCCCCTGATCGATTTATCTACTACCCATCTATCTCTATCTATCTATCTTATCTATCTGGGGGGTTTCTGGGAGTTGCAGTCCAGGAATAGGAAATTAGAATTATGCAGGAATTGGGATGGTCTCAAAGAAATCCATGGAGAAGAAAGCTTGCAGCTTGGAAGCAGTGCATTTGGATCATCCTTCTCTCCTAAAGGGTTGGGTTTAGGGGATACTGGGAGCTGTGGTCCAGAAGAAAGTGTGGATATGCTATTGTGCATTTTGTTTGCCGGGGGGAGTCATTTTTGCGCATGTGCTGTAGTGTCATTTTTGCTTTTTTTTTTTTGCTTTTTAAGTCCCTTATGCTATGTTTTCCAATGTTTTTATTAGTGATGGTCACTTGTTGGCCTGATAGGTGTATTGTGTCCAAATTTGGTGTCAATTTGCCCAGTGGTTTTTGAATTATGATAATCCCACAAACGAACATTGCATTTTTATTTATATAGATATAGGAACTAACGCCAAAAATATGCACTGCCCAGCAAGTGAAATAATAATTGGGAAACACAACTATTCCAATACAGCAGGACAAAGGGCAAATAAAATAGAATGAATCAAGGAAGGTCTGAATGTGGAGAGGGTGACTGGCGGATTCTGGGAGTTGTAGTCTCCAAAAAAGGAAGCTTTCCCAATGAGGAAAGGTCATAAAGCCATAAAGTGTTGGGGATACTGGGAGTTACAGTCCTTAAGTAGGATCTTGCCTTAAGTTCTGCAAAACCAAGTGCATTCTGGGTCTGTAGCCTACAAAAAGCAGCCTTCCTAGGCTCTGCTAATGAAATCCCATGAAAGAAATCACCATACTGGGGGATGGGGATGCTGGGAGTTGCAGTCCTAAGTAGGATCTTGCCTTAAATTATGCAAAACGAAGCACATTCTGGGTTCTGTGACCCATAAAAAGCCACCTTACTAGGCTCTGCTAATGAAATCCTATGAATTGAGAGCAACTACCATACTGAGGAATGGGGATACTGGGAGCTGCAGTTCTTAAGGAGAATCTTGCCTTAAGTTCTGCAAAACCAAGCACATTCTGGGGCCTGTGGCAGACAACCCCCCCCCCCCAAAACAGAACTGAGAGCAACCACCATACAGGTGAATGGGGATACTGGGAGTTGCAGTCCTTAAATACAACCTTGCCTTAAGTTCTGCAAAACCAAGCACATTCTGGGGTCTATAACCTACAGAAAACAGCCTTCCAAGGCTCTGCAAATGAAATCCTATGACTTGAGAGAAACCACCATACTGGGGAATGGGGATACTGGGAGTTGCAGTCCTAATTAGGATCTTTTCCTAAGCCCTGCAAGCCAAGCACAGTGAATGCCATCCAGACCTAGCTACATGAGAAGGACAGTGGAACTGAATTTCATAAACGTGGCAATGGGAGCAGAGTTTGGCCCCTTTGCATGCACACACATCTCTGCTTTGCAGCCCCCCAAACCCACCTGATGCCCTCCTTTTGCCACATGCGGGTGAGTTTCTGCCCTCCTTCAGTGGCCGATAGTGGATGTTGTGCCTCTCCAGGGGCATCAGGGCCTCGGCTACCGTTTGCTGAAGCCCCCCGGCGGATCCAGAGAAATGGGGGTGACCCTTTGACCCTCCAAAGTTTCCCCCAAAAAGGAGCAGCCATTGCAGAAGGAGGGGGAAAATGCAAGGAAATCCAAGTTACTACTCTCTGCTGCCACCTAGCGTTGGACAATGGCTGTGACGCTCAAGGCAAAGCCAAACAGCTCCAAGTTGCAAAGCCTCAGGCAGAGAGGCTTGAGGACTAAATAATTGGGTGCTAGGCTGAATTTTTTAAAATATATAGAAATAAATGCATATTTTTTACAAATTCCTGAAACTCTCCATGAGTGGCTGAAAGAGTAATATCTGATATGCAAGGATGTATTTTCATTCACTGAACCAAATTTGGCATAAATATCTGATATGCCCAAATTTGAATACTGTTGGAGTCAGAGTGGATTCATTTTGTCATTTGGGAGTTGTAGTTGCTGGGATTTATAGTCACCTACAATCTGTACAAGGACCAAGTAGCAACAGTAAGAACTGACCATGGAACAACAGACTGGTTCAAGATTGGGAAAGGCGTACGGCAAGGTTGTATACTCTCACCCAACCTATTCAACTTGTATGCAGAACACATCATGCGATGTGCAGGGCTTGATGAATGCAAGGCTGGGGTAAAAATTGCTGGAAGAAACATTAACAACCTTAGATATGCAGATGATACCACTTTGATGGCCGAAAGCGAGGAGGAGCTGCGGAGCCTTCTAATCAAGGTGAAAGAAGAAAGCGCAAAAGCTGGGTTGCAGCTAAACATCAAAAAAACCAAGATTATGGCAACAAGAATGATTGACAACTGGAAAATAGAGGGAGAAACCGTGGAGGCCGTGACAGACTTTGTATTTCTAGGGGCAAAGATTACTGCAGATGCAGACTGTAGCCAGGAAATCAGAAGACGCTTACTTCTTGGGAGGAGAGCAATGTCCGGTCTCGATAAAATAGTAAAGAGTAGAGACATCAGACTGGCAACAAAGATCCGCCTAGTCAAAGCCATGGTATTCCCTGTAGTAACCTACGGATGTGAGAGCTGGACCTTAGGGAAGGCTGAGCGAAGGAAGATCGATGCTTTTGAACTGTGGTGTTGGAGGAAAGTTCTGAGAGTGCCTTGGACTGCCAGAAGATCCAGCCAGTCCATACTTCAGGAAATAAATCCCGACTGCTCATTGGAGGGAAAGATATTAGATGCAAAGATGAAGTAATTTGGCCACATAATGAGAAGACAGGAAAGCTTAGAGAAGACAATGATGCTGGGGAGAAGGGAAGGCAAAAGGAAGAGGGGCCGACCAAGGGCAAGAGGGATGGATGGCATCCTTGAAGTGACTGGACTGACTTTGAAGGAGCTGGGGGTGGTGACGGCCGACAGGGAGCTCTGGCGTGGGCTGGTCCATGAGGTCACGAAGAGTCGGAGACGACTGAACGAATGACGAACAACAAACTATACTAATGATTTATAGTTCACCTACCAATCAAAGAGCATTCTGAACTCCAACCAACAATGGAATTGAACCAACTTGGCACACAGAACTCCCATGACCAACAGAAAATACCATAGAGGGTTTGGTGGGCATTGACCTTGAGTTTTGGAGTTGTAGTTCACATCCATCCAGAGAGTATTGTGGACTCAAACAATGATAGATTTGGATCAAACTTGGCACGGATACTCAATATACCAATATACTGGTGAAGTAGACTACTGCAACACACGTTACGTGGGGCTGCCTTTGAAGACTGCTCAGAAGCTTCAAGTAGTCCAATGGTCGGCAGCCAGGCTGCTCACCGGAGCACCATACAGGGACCTCACAACCCCTCTGTTATGCCAGCTTCACCGGCTGCCAATCTGCTACCAAGCACAGTTCAAAGTGATGGTTTTAACCTTTAAAGCCCTAAATGGTTCTGGCCCAGAATACCTGTCCAAACGTATCTCCTGTTACAAACTATCATGAAGTTTAAGATTATCTGGAGAGGCCCTGCTCTCGATCCCACCACCATCGCAAACACAATTGGTGAGGACGAGGGACAGGGCCTTCTCAGCAGTGGCCTCCCATCTGTGGAATTCTCTCCCCAGGGACATCAGATTGGCCACCTCCCTCCTGTCCTTTAGAAGGAAACTCAAGACTTGGTTGTGGGACCAAGCGTTTGACCGTTGAAGAGCAGCAAGTGAGAAGAAGACGTAAGCAACTTGAAGTGACAATGAACTGACGCGGACTTGGATTTTTAATTGGCGTGTTTTTAGCAATTGTTTATTTAATGTCTTTTTAATAAATGTTGACCATTTTTATGACTGTCATGGCACCGAATGGTGCTTGGTGTGAGGCCGCCTGGAGTCCCCCTCGGAGGTGAGAAGGGTGGAGTACAAATGCAGGAAATAAATAAATAAATATTTGAGGAAAATAGACTTTGACACTTGGGAGTTGTCGTTGCTGGGATTTATAGTTCACCTACAATCGAAGAGCATTCTGAACTCCACCAACAATAGAACTGGGCCAAACTTTCCACACAGAACCCCCATGCCTTAAAGGGACTCACTGGCGTGAGCCTCCCCCCAGCCACACATGCTCTCTCTCACCCCGCACGTGCACACCAACCCGCACATGCGCTAAGCACACCTGCTCTCCCCTCCCCGCTTGGAGTCTTAGAAATAGCTCTCCCCTTGGCTGAGAGGTTGGCCAATCACAGCGGAGGAGGGCTTTTGGTGGGAGGATTCACCATCTATTTCTGAAAAGGAAGAGAAGGACAAGCAGAGAGATCTTCAGCCTTCTCTGCCAAAGGGGTTCCCAAGATCATCAGAAATATATGATGGGTGAAGGAACACCACCATACTCCGGGGCAGAGAGTTCCACTGCTGAACGGCTCTCACGGTCAGGAAGTTCTTCTTCATGTTCAGATGGAATCTCCTTTCTTGTAGTTTGAAGCCATTGTTTCATTGTGTCCTAGTCCAAGCTTGCTCCCTCCTTCCTGTGGCTTCCTCTCACATATTTATACATGGCTATCATATCTCCTCTCAGCCTTCTCTTCTTCAGGCTAAACATGCCCAGCTCCTTAAGCCGCTCCTCATAGGACTTGTTCTCCAGACCCTTGATCATTTTAATTGATGCAGTTCAATACCAGTTTAACTGCCATGCTACTGAATCCTGAGAATTGTAGTTTGCTGAGGCACCCAACACAACCTTTGGCAGAGAAGGCCCTCGAGGCCTTGAGAAACTGACCCCAACTTATGGGAGTTGTAATCCTTAGCCTTTTCTTCATGAAACTATAAATCCCATGATTCCTTAACATCACTTTACCATGGCAGGTAAAGTGAAAAATAACACATCATAGCAGCGATCACATTGAAGCATTCAGCACAAGGTCAAAAAAATGGCTCAATAAGCTGCTATACTGAAGCGCTTATTTATTTTTATTTGTCGTGTCAGAGCAGCCAGTCCATTATATTACATTTCTAACAGAACAAAGCAAACAAACAGAAAAATACACAATTGTGAGTTTGGTAGTTGATTAAATGTCCTTTGACCAGTATCTGGCCACTTGGAGTGCTTCTGGTGTTGCTGCAAGAAGGTCCTCCATTGTGCATGTGGCAGGGCTCAGGTTGCATTGCAGCAGGTGGTCAGTGGTTTGCTCCTCTCCACACTCGCATGTCGTGGATTCCACTTTGTAGCCCCATTTCTTGAGGTTGGCTCTGCATCTCGTGGTGCCAGAGCGCAGTCTGTTCAGCGCCTTCCAAGTCGCCCAGTCTTCTGTGTGCCCAGGGGGGAGTCTCTCATTTGGTATCAGCCATTGGTTGAGGTTCTGGGTTTGAGCCTGCCACTTTTGGACTCTCGCTTGCTGAGGGGTTCCAGCGAGTGTCTCTGTAGATCTTAGAAAACTATTTCTTGATTTAAGTCATTGACGTGCTGGCTGATACCCAAACAAGGGATGAGCTGGAGATGTCTCTGCCTTGGTCCTTTCACTATTGGCTGCTACTTCCCGGTGGATGTCAGGTGGTGCAATACCGGCTAAGCAGTGTAATTTCTCCAGTGGTGTAGGGCGCAGGCACCCCGTGATAAGCTGGTAAACTGGCTGGGATTTCTGGTAGTTGTAGGCCCAAAACATCTGGGGACCCCAGGTTGAGCCTTTTCTGCCAAAAAGGGCTGGTTCTTCATGAAACTATAAATCCCATGATACCCTAGCCCTAGACCCCATGGGAAGCCCTTGAGTGCTCCAGCTGGAGGTCAGCTGTGACCAGCAGTGCTGTAGAATTTGAAGGGGCATGAATGGAGGCATAAATGCCATCAGCAACACATCACAGCAGGGATCACATTGAAAAGCAACACATCACAGCAGGGATCACATTGAAACGTTCAGCACAAGGTCAAAAAATGGCTCAATAAGCTGCTATACAGAAGTGCTGCCTCAGCACAAACTAAAACCAGCCTTCTGCTGCCTAAAGCGGAAGTAGCTTCCCATTCCAGCCAGGTGGGCGGAGCCTCCATGGCTCAAAGAGGGAAAAAAAACACAGTTGCGACTTTTGAAACATTATGTCCCCTTGCGGCAGCCGTAGCGTTGGGAGCGCCCTATCCCAATGCCTTAAGGGAGAAGAGTTGGCTGGGGCTCCTCCTCCTCCTCCTCGCGCTGTGTCCCGATCGCGGCGGGCGGGGGCGGGGTTGCCATGGCAGCGGGGAGCAGTAGGTGTCACACCGGGCCACTTCCTGGTTGGAGGCCAATGTCCCGGGCAGTGAAGCTGGCGGAAGGAGGAGGAGGAGGAGAGCGAGGCGGAGAGGTAAGGTCCACTGGAGCGAGCCAGGGGGGAAGAATGGACGCGACCATTCTCAGAAATAGGGAAAGCAACTTGCTCGGACTTCCCTCTAGGGCGGCAGCGCGTTGAGCGGCTCCACTCTTTCCAAATGGGAGAATGGGACGTACCATTTGCTGGAACGGGGGGAGGACGGACCGGCCCATTTAATCCCTAAATGGGGGGGAGAAGAGGAAATGAAGCTGCATTAAGCCAAAGGGTGTGTTCCTCTCCTTGTGGGGCTTTGAGGGAAAGTGCCTTGAGATTCCACATGGGATTAGGGTGGCTCAGGTTGGACACTCCCCCTTCTTCTTCTTCTTCTTCTT